CCCCGCCGCTTTCTTAACCCTCCTGCCGCCGGCAGATGATGCTGGGCCGCCGGAGAGAGCCCCTTCCGTGGGATCTAGCAGCGCTGTCCTGTCTCTTTTTGGCCGGGAGCGAAGGGCACTGAGGAAAGGCAGGGCTCGAGCCCGGCCCGTTCACTGAGCCGTTTCGCATCTCTTCCAGGCTATGGAAGTGAACAACACAACCGCAGAAACCCTGTACAACGGCACGAGCGGAGACCTGCTGACTTCGAACTACAGCCTCGCTCCGAACACTCCCATCAATCAGAATGTCAGCCTGCATCAGGCCTCTCTGGGTAGCTGCTCCCAGGACTTCTCCCTCTTCAGCTCAGAAATCGAAAGCCCCTCCATGGCTGGCAGCTCGGCCCTGCTCCAGCTGGCGCCGGACAACTCCACCGGCCTCAACACCACCTTCGGCTCCACCAACTTGAGCGGCATCTTCTTCCCTCCGCAGCTGAACAGCACAGTCAACGAGACGGCTGGCCCCGAGCTGCCAGACCCGCTGGGTGGTCTTCTAGACGAAGCCATGCTTGACGAGATCAGCCTGATGGACTTGGCGATTGAAGAAGGTTTCAACCCGGTGCAGGCCTCGCAGCTGGAAGAGGAGTTTGACTCTGACTCGGGTCTTTCTCTGGATTCCGGCCACAGTCCTGCTTCTCTGAGCAGCTCGGAAGCCTCCTCCTCCTCCTCCTCCTCCTCTTCCTCCTCCTCTTCCTCCTCGTCCTCTTCCTCCTCCTCGTTTTCTGAGGAAGGAGCTGTCGGCTACAGCTCAGACTCTGAAAACGTGGACTTTGAAGAAGCGGAAGGGGCGGTTGGATACCAGCCAGAGTACAGCAAGTTCTGCCGCATGAGCTACCAGGACCCGTCGCAGCTCCACTACTTGCCTTACCTGGAGCACGTTGGCCACAACCACACCTACAACATGGCGCCGGGGGCCCTGGATCCCGAGGAGCCCAAACTGCCCAGCGCGGGGAAGAAGAGCAGCAAGGAGAAGCCGTCCGAGTTCCTGGATAAGCAGATGAGCAGGGACGAGCATCGAGCCAGAGCCATGAAGATCCCCTTCACCAACGACAAGATCATCAACCTGCCCGTGGAGGAGTTCAACGAGCTCCTCTCCAAGTACCAGCTCAGCGAGGCGCAGCTGAGCCTGATCCGCGACATCAGGAGGCGAGGCAAGAACAAGATGGCTGCCCAGAACTGCCGCAAGAGGAAACTGGACACCATCCTGAACTTGGAACGGGACGTCGAGGACTTGCAACGGGACAAGTCCAAACTGCTCAGGGAGAAGGTGGAATTCCTCAAATCCATCCGCCAGATGAAGCAAAAGGTGCAGAACCTCTACCAGGAAGTGTTCGGCCGCCTGCGGGACGAGAACGGCCAGCCCTACTCCCCCAGCCAGTACGCCCTGCAGTACGCCAGCGACGGCAGCGTCATTTTGATACCGCGCGCGGTGGCCGACCAGCAGGCCCGGCGGCAGGAGCGGAAACAGAAGGACCGCAGGAAGTGAAGGGCCGGCGACGCGGGAGGAGTGGGACACTCGCTCAAGTGAGAACTGGAGAAGGGCTGAGCCTGGAAGTACTTAGAGGAACTTTCATGCCTTCTTATCCGATATATCTTCTCAAAAACACAAAAAAAAACCCCAAACGTGACTGCTGCCGGTCAGTGTACGGGAGAGACTGCGGGACCTGCAGGCTGAGCTTTGAGGGCTCCCTGCGGGGAGGGACGGGGAGGAGCGGACCCTGCACTGGCGAGCCCGGCGCCTTCCACAACCTGGAATCCTTTGAGCGCAGGAAACGAGCTGGCATCACCGGTGGCGAGACTGGCAGAGGTGGAAAAACTACTGTTAGGAACTGGCTTTAAATAAGAAAAGAGATTTGAGCAAACGAACTTAAAACAAGTTATAGGAGAGACGTTTTTCTGAACTTCCAAAGTTCTGTGATTTCAGGTAACAGGTTTTTTTTTTTCCTTTTTTTTTTCCTTTTTTTTTTTTTTTTTTTTTTTCCCTTTTCCTGAACCAGTTTTGACATCGGTGTGTGTGATTCAATCTGACTTAATTCCAGATTAACCAACATCCCTTCCTAGATCAGACCAGTGCACACATGGAAACACAAGTTGGTGTGACTTCCATTAACCCTTCCCAGTCTGAGGAAGCTCGGAGGGGGCTCGCGGGAGGACTGTTACCGTACGCGCGGAGGAGCTGTGAGGCCTCGG